GAAAACCTCATTCCCAAGTATCTGAGCCAGTGACAGGCTACAGCCACAAAAGTTAGAGTTTGGTGCTCACTTACCTCTTGCCAAATCCTGAGATGTCACACGAAATCCTGATAGTTCACATCAAAAAAAAAAAGAGGTACCAGTTGTGACTCATTGCTTTAGAATTTCAAAAAGTCTTTCCTACCGTCACCTGCCCCAACTTGACCTTTTCTTCATTCCTGAATCTTGTCTCAAGGAAAGAAGCCTTGGAATGTAGTTTTATTGAGATAAGCATGTCATCTTTCTAGAGGCACTTTCATAAGGTTAAAATAATTAATCAGGATATACCAGAGCCTAACCGTGGTTAAGGACAGAAGGAGGAAGTGAATTTTATTTGGAGAAGTTTCTCATATGAATAAATGTTTATTAAAGTAAGTAAGCAGAGGCAGTTCCATCGAAAATTTGGAAAGGACACAGGAGAAGGACCAGATCAAAAATGCCAGCAGGAAATAAGTTAACTTTTCAGTGGTCAGTTTTAAATTCTGTGCCTGTGACCTTGCCTCATGTCTCAATTCCATGTCATGATGCAACTACAAGAATTACAGGATTAAGGTCTGAGTCTTCTTCTAAAGCCTGTTTGTTATTCGTCCATGCATCACAGCAGCTGAAGCGGAGCCACGGAAACATTTGTAGTCTTGAAAAATTATTTTCATGTGAAAATAAAACTATTTTCATTAGAAATAGTTTATTAATTAAGGTAAAGTGGGGCCAAAGTTAAAATGTTGACAGTCCAGTGAGACATACTGTTGCAAATAGTATGGTTCTAAGAAAAATGGTTGGGGTACAAAACTGTATCCTTGGACTTGGATCCAGTTTTAACTCTACAGTTAATCAGCCATTGGCAGCTTGAGATACAGCTCAATCTCTTTTATCCTTAGTTTCCTTTTTCATAAACGAGCATGTTAAATCTCTAGGCTTTTTTTCTAATTAAAAATAACTTTGATTTTTTTTTTTTAGAGTAAGAAGTGATTTTCTCTAAAATACTTTCATTTGATGTCATTTTACTTAAGAGAACTTCAGTTGAATGGCAGCCTTTGGAAAACATAGAGAATGTTCTTTCTTTCCTGGGATTGTGTGGTTGAATTAATCTTCACCATATCTCTACAGAGGATGGAGAAGAAATAATCTAACACTTGTAACACACCTAAATTCTAACATTTATTTCATTCTCACGAAAGCACTGGAAGGTGGAAATTTTCTCCATTTCACAGTTAAGGAAACTGTGAGTCACAGTAGCCAGGTACGTGCCTGAGGCCACAGAACAGGTAAGAGTGAGCAGCACCAGCTTCTGCTCTTCAGGTCCGTTGGATTTAAAAGTTCCCTCTAGCATATGATGCTGGCTGGCATTCTGAAAAAAAAGGTTAAGAGATTGAGAGACAGAAATACAGAAAACCAGGAGATTTTCTCGATTTTGTAGTAAATCAGCAGTTTGGGGGGCCAGGAAAAAAATAGAAGCATTTAATGGAATAGAGTATTAAGCTCAGGCTGGGGGCATGGTGCAGGAAAATAGCCTTCTGTATAATAACTTTATTTCTATTTTATACCAGCCCTGGGTTTTCATAGTTGTAAAATGGTGAAATATGAGAATATGGAACTTGTTGTATTTATACATTTTTATTAAATTCTCATAACACACTTGCTGTTTTCTAGAAAACATCTCAGAATGAACATTAGTTCATTCTAGCGCTAGAATGAAAGTTTTTTTGTGACTATAGTTTTTTTTCTAGCCTTCCTGAGGCATATTTGGCAAATAAAAATGGTATATGTTTCAGGCATGCAACATGAACACTTGATTGAAAGTCGATTTTTTCCAAACCATGCAACTTAGCTTCTCCAGCACCCTGACCCCCTGCTTCACATGTTCATGATATCTGGAGCATGATAGAGCTTAATCTCAAACTTCATTCTTATAAAAAAGCAATTCTCTTATCTAGAAATCATTTAGAGTGTTCTGTTAGGTGGGCACACACCAACTTATTCTCCCCCGAGGAGCCCTGGACTCAAGCAGTGTACTTCCTCTTGCTTTAGGAAAGAATTTATTTTCCTCTGAACTTCCCTTCTGGTGGTTTTCTTGTTTTCTTTTTTTTTTAATGTGTGTTTGTGTTGGCTGTTGGCCTTCTGCTTCTCAGGATTTGGCCTGGTACCAAGAGAGTCAGCGCTTCGACTGGAAAGTGTCCTCCTGCCAACAGAAGGAAAACTCCGCCTCCCACACCCACTTCTACTCAACATAATATATGCTCATGGTTTGCATCTTCAACCCATCACTTCTGAATATCTGCTTCCACAGCACTCATTTCTCCAAAAAATGAGTTTGAACCACATGGAAAATATGCCTTTAAACCATTCAGGTCCTCGAGGAGCACGGAGATCATCTTGGAAGCCATGGATCATCTGCATAGCAATAGTTCTGATACTATTGGTTTGCTTCATCATAATATTCATTTTTTACCCATTCCAGGTAAGGAGATGCCAGTACCTAAGGTTGCTGTTTACTATAATTCTTTATTCATTTGTTAGTCTAGCTATTATCATTGTCCCTCAGTATTGCTAGAGAGAGTTGAGAGGAAGAGACAAATACAATACAAATACATATTTACAATATGTAAATACAATTCTGATCTTGTCATGACATGGCTTTTGAGGTTCATCTGAGTGTATTGAGATGAAAGTTATCATAAAATGTGAAATGCTAGCTGCAGGGGTTAGATGGAGTGAATTGCCTGATTAAAGCAGTCAACTAATAGATGCCTGTAGAGAAGTTTTTTTTTTTCCTCTGTATCCTCATGGTGGAATGAAACTGTGTATAATAAAATGCTTCCCCTCAGGGAATTGGGTATAAAATGTAGTCTTAGTGTGGGAAAAGATACAAAAAGATAATGAAAGACAGGATAAGGTAAGTAATGAGTTTACTGTATCTTGAGGAAGAAAATGGCACTGAGCCAAGAGTAAGAAGATCTAGATTCTTGTTCTAGGTCTCCCAATAACCAGCTGTATAAATTCAAGAAAGCCATTTACTCTCTCTGGTTCTCAGTTTGTTCATTTGAAAAATGGCAGCAGGGGGAATGATTATGTTTCTTTTAGCTAAAACATGCAATGATCAAAAATTTCTCTAAGGGTAGTGAACATAAGTGCCTTAGGGATTCAAGAGTAGGGGGCAATGACTTTAGGCTTGGGCAGTCAGGGGAGGCTTCATGGAGGAAGAAGGAAGCACATGTCTATTTGGGAAGCTCCTGATGCTTTAGCAGGAATTTCCCACTGAGCTGCACCTTGTGGGCCTAGAGAATGGGATTGTACGCTGGGTATGGACATAAGTCAGGGTCTGTGTTAGATGTTTTTCCTCCCTGGTACTAGATGTTTTCCCATTTCTGGTTACATCTGAAGACCCTGAGCCTTGGGGAAAATAAGGTGGTGCATGCCTTTCTAAGAAAGGGTTGGGATATGACTGCAGAGACCTTTTTCTAAGGGGAATGGACAGCAAAGATTTCAAAGATATGGTTCTACCACTTAAGGTATTTGAAAGCAATTGGGACAAGTTGCCGGAGGAGGAGGTACTTCTCCTTAATTAATTGTTAAACTAATAACAATAGATATTAATTTAGTTAGGGTAGGTACAGCGTTGGCCAAATTCTTCCCCAGTAGTCCATTAATTTGGATTCCTTAACCTGATACAAGGAGGTGCAACAGAGGGATTTCCAATCACAAGCCTGTTCTCTAGAGGAAGAACAGAACAGAACATTTCTGTATCAAGCAGCAATGTGCACTTTCTGGAGCAGTGACGTTTGAGCAGAAAGGAAAGAAGTGTCAGAAATTCTGAATGTTTAGATTCCTGAAGAAGAGGAAGGGTGAGAATAGCAATAACTTAAATTTGGAAGCGTTTTTTCTTTTAAAAATTACTTCAAGTTTTATCAGCCAGATGATGACCCTGAAGATCACTGAATATTAGCATCATCAGTTTCTGCATTTGACTGAGGAACAGATGCACAGAAGAGGAGGGAAATGCTTTTCTCAAAGTCACTACTCAGTGGCTCTTGCAAAGGGAAAGAGGAAGTAGACGGTGCGAGAGTCATCCAGGATATCACCAGAATCAAACTCTAGTACTCATGGGGTTAAGTCCAGACTCTGGATTCTCTCTTCTAGAGAGCTCGCACTTTCTCCATGAAAGGTTCTGTTTCTAAAGATACTGCAGGGTTTGTTCCAAATTTAATGAGGTATAAAAAGCTTTTAGGATATTGTTTTGACAGGATGCTTGAAGGATTAGTTTCTGTGGGAAAAGCCAGTGGCCTGGTCAACTGTGTAACGATGTAAGCTCATGCATTCCACTTTCCGCTTACCTGCACTTCCCTTTCCCAACTGGTGACAAATATCTTTAGAAAAGAGGTCTGAGTGGCTGGCACAGATGGTGAGTCATTAGGATGTGACCACTTCCACCTCCCCACAGTACCAGTGAACCTTAGAATTTTACTTCATGTTAGTTTCCGCTCTATATTCCAGAATCTCTAGACACTAATTTAAAAAGTGTAAAATGGGAAACTAGGCTCCTTTCAGACCCGCGCAAATTTCCTGGGGAGAATTTTTTCCTTCCCTGCCCCCCTTTCTTCTTTCAGAGGACATTTAAGTAAAAGGATAGGCTATGAGTCCAAGGAATTTCATTAATCCCAGAGTGAAAGGCATCTTAACAGAAGTTGCCTCTAAGAAAACAAGTATTCAGGAGAGTCTCCTGCTTTAGTGAAATGAAGGATACGTCCAAAAAGGGAAGTTGTGCTTACACTTAAAAGCAATAGATTTCATGTCTAAATGATAATCTGATTAGGGCTGGTTTGGAAAAAGAATGATTGTTTTGGTCCTGTTGAGTCCTACTATATAAATCTAGACTTAAAAGGAGGTTATAAGAGCAACTGATCCTTCTAAGCAAAATTAAACTACACTGAAAGTCCCATCTGCTTTTTAGATGTGGGTATTTATTCGACATTACCAGAATTATGTATAGAAACTGCCCCGCGAAGTAGTTGGAGTGAGAGTTTTCAATCATACAGGCTGCATGACCTTGGGCTACTTACTTAATCCCTCTTTTCCCTATTTCCTCATCTGTAAAATGAGCACGCTCATTCTCAACAAATTGTAGAAAGGATTGATAGGACAGTATAATGCCTGGCATGTAGTAGGCTCTCAGTAGACGGTAGTGATTAATATTTGCACCATTACTATTAATGACATTACGATGGCCATAAACTTAACAAGATCTTTTAACAATGTGGATATTCCTTGCCTATCTATATCACTTCCCTCAAAGACTAAATTGATGATTTTGTAATTAGGCAGATTTTTATGTGTGGCAATAATTAGAGACTACCACACTGGTGGGTTTCTATAGCTAGAGCTACTGCAGTACATTATCCAGAATTTCCCGCTCTGGAAATTAATTTGTGGCCTTAGGTTTCTCTGCTTATGCATAGTAGCTGACACAGATACTATCTGTGGCATGTATTTGGCACTCATTAACATTCAGATTGTTTCCTAATTGCTTCATGTGTATAATCACATCTTTCTAGAAGGATTATAAACTTGAGAGGGAAGGACCATAAATTATATTCGTTTCTCTCACTTACAATGCAGAATATGCACATAATGCTGGGAATATAGGTAGTTATATTTTCATTCAATTCTTCATTATCACCATCATTATCAAAACAGTTAATATTTATTGAGCAGGTCCAGACAGGATAGCTGGGCAAAGCTCTTCATAGGAATTAGTCCTTTAAAACCCAATAAGCTATATGCTATTATTTTTCGTATTTTATAAATGAAGAATTTGGGGTTAAGGGAGTCCCTGTCAGATGCCTATCATATGTTCAATTAAACCAAATTTCAGCATCTCTTCTAAGGAACACCAAAATGAGGATGAAATAATCATAAAAACAAAAGCACTTATTGGAAACCCAGCAATTTATTTCTTAGAATAATAGCTTCTAGACTATTTGACTAAATCTATCAACACAATGTTTCAGTATAATTCTCAACATATGTCTGTTTATTATGTTATATACAAATACTATGTACATTAAAAAACACACAAAACAGAAGGTTATAAGGATGAGCCAAAGAATGTGTTTTTTCCTCAATGCAAAACCATTTGCTTTTACCAAAATGGCATATTTTTCTAATATAAACATTAATAAAATAATTAAAATAATATTTTAATATGATAGATTATTTTATTTTTTACTCTTAGTATAACCTTTTATGGGACAGCACATTGAAGTTTCTATTCAAAGTTAATTTAACTTTGGTTCATGATTTTGACTATCACAGCTGAAAAATTACCTCAGAAAGATACATAGGTCAATACGGAAGAATGCATCTTTCCATGTCATGACACCTAATTTTCAATCCATTGCGATGTTTTTTTTAAATTAAAATAATCTTGTCCCTCACTCCATTCGTGCCTTCCCTCCCTTCTTATACAACTGAATCCCAAGGTCTATAATTATAACATCTCCCTTGTATAAACCTACTCACTTTCTTCTCTCTCTCTTCATTACACATTAATGGCAAAACCCCAGCCAGGGAAAACTTCCAGCACTGATTAAATCAGGCTACTCTTAGTCTTTCATAGTTGGCTGTGTCTGAAGTAAAACACAGGAACTGGTTGCATGGTCTTACTTTAAATTCTTGGCCACTACCATCAAGTGTGACTTCAGTGCTGCCCTGGAAACACCCGTATTTTCCAAGTCCATTCACTTTCCTCTACTGAACTAGTTCATACCTTTGGCTTCTCCTTCAATGTCTAATAACTCTTACTCATTCTTACTGTCAGCTGATACCTTTGGCTCCAGATTCCTCAAGAGAAAACAGAAACAGGGATGAAAGAGGTTCCAAAACTTCTGCATCAACCATTCACCTGCATTTGTGTCATGTTTACTGTATTTGTCATCACTATCGATAAATTGTCCACCCCCCTCTCCAAGGCCACCTATGAACTAGATCCTATCACCGCTTACCTACCTACTCAGGGACACTGTTCCAACAATTCTCTTACATTTTACTCCTCCGATTTACTGGAATAGTCCCACCAAATGGCAACCATTGTGTTGTCATTTCTCTCATATTGCAACAGTCAAAACCCAAACCAGAGCAGCAGCAGCGACAATAACAACAACCACCTCTTTGATCTTTCACTTTCATCCAGGCTCCACTCAGTTTTTCTGTTCTTTCTTACAGGAAAACTCCTCTGAATTCTCTCTTCCCATTTACCCTTTGGTAAATCTATTTTACCTAAGCTTCTTCCCTCATCACTTCCCAGAAGCTCCTTTTGTCAAGAAATCCACAGACTCCTGTGTTGCTCAATCCATCAGTCAATTCTCAGTCCTCTTCTTGACTAGTCAGCATTTGACACTAGCTGATGACTCCTCCTCCCTGAAATTTTTTCTTACCTCTCTTGCGTTCCACATGTTACACTCTGCTGGAGTCTTTTCAGACTCACTGACCTCCCTTCCTATTCTCCGTTTCTGGCTCCTCCTCATTCACTGACTTGTAAACCTTGCAAGGCCCCCGTGCTCCTCTCTATCTGCATTCACTGAGTTGGTGGTCTCCTACAGTCTCACCCAAAGCATCACCTGTGAGCTGAAGGCTCCTAAATATCACCCAGACTCTGTAAATTCCAGCTTCACGTGTATGTCCAGCCACCTAACTGACACCCTTTCCTAAATAGTAAGCATCACAAACTTAACATGTCCGGAAACAAACTTGCAATTGTTGCCTCCCCCACAATTGATTTCCTTCAATCTTGTCTGTTTTAGTGAATAACAATTTTATTTTTTCCAATTACTTAGGCCCAAAGTCTTGAAGTCTTCTTTGCCGCTTCTTATGATCACCCCATGTCCATGTTGGGAACTCCCATTGGCTCTGTTTTCCAATAAACTTATCACCATCTCCATTGCTAGCACCTTGGTCAGAGGCTCTGTGCTCTCTTACCTTGAAGAACAACTACAATGATATCTTAGCTAGTCGCACAACATTTTCCCTTGCCTCCCCCCTTTTATTTATTCCTAGGAAAGAAGCCAGAGAAATCCTATAAAAGGGAAACATGCAACATCTTTAAGTTTTAAAAGTCTCTTAAGCACTTTGCCATAAAGACGCTAATGAATTTAGGATGGTATAAAAATTATGGTTATGCTTTCTTTTACTTCTGTGTGTTTCAGAGCACTTGGTATTTAAACACTTGGATTTGTAAAATTAACTGCACTTATGGCATCCTGTAGCACAGTGGTTCTCAACCTTCCTAATGCACAGCCCTTTAATACAGTTCCTATGGGTCGTGACCCACAGGTTGAGAACCGCTGCTGTAGCATCTAAACTGCAGTATGTTGCAGCAGTTTGAAACTGTTGAAACTGTTTCTCACGGTATCTTAGTTACTGTATATGACATGTGGCTGTCTGAATATTATATAAGGGTAGCTTTGTCAATTTGAGTTGTAAATATTTCTAGAGTTGATGTATTATTTTAAATAAAAATAAACATAAATAGAAGTTCCATTATTTTCTTTGCACATGTCAATAGAATACCTTGTGCAGTGATTAGGATGTGGAGACTGCTGTTTATAGAAAACTTTTATAGCTCAAGAAGGGAAATGTACAAGATCAAATAGTTGTCCTGTGGATAGAGGCTAGGTGATGGAATGAGGCCTTATCTTTCACTTAAAAGACCCAAAGGGCAACTAGGTAATGAAAGGTAAAGGATAGGCGAGGCATAGTGGCTCATGCCTGTAATCTTAACACTTTGGGAGCCCAAAGTGGGAGGATTGCTTGAGATCAAAAGTTGGAGACTCGCCAGAGCAACATAGCCTGTTCTTGTCTCTATATAAAATGGAAAAAATTAGCTGTGTGTGGTGGCATGATCCTGTAGTCCCAGCTAGTAGGGAGGCTGAGGCAAGAGGATCACTTGATCCCAGAAGTCTGAAGCTGTAGTGAGGGATTATGACACCACTGTACTCTAGCCTGGGCAACAGAGGTAAACTGAAAAGGAAAAAAAAAAAAAAGGGAAGCAAAGAAAAGAAAAAAAAAAGAAAGGAAAGGAGGAAGGAAGGAAGGAAATAAGGAAAAGAATAAAGCTGGTCATAGTTAAAGGGAAGGGGAGAGATCTAAGATATGGCGGAGTTTTTTTTTTTTTATGGCTATGGAAAAGTATAATAGTTTACCTCAGCAATCTGAAGCGCTCTATAAATCAATCAAAAAAGTATTGACACTGTCATGAAACTGATTAATTCCTGTTTTCTTTCCCCAACAGACTGCTAACAAGCCCTGTCTAGCTAAGTTTGGTGAGTAACATATCTTGTATGCCTTTCTTGACATTTCTTAGTTTTTAATGCAAGAAAGCGGGTGCCAGTGCTTTTGAGGAAGCCTGTATTATGTTTTATTAATTTTCAACTACTATTTATAATTGCTTGCCACGTGCTAGGCAGTTGTCTAGGAGCTAAGGCTTTCAGAGGCAAACCACCCAGGCAAGCCCATGACCGATAAAGCTCACATTGAAGGCCTCATCTCTGGGAAGGAACGGACAGCACTCCTGTAGGGTGTGGAGATCTGAGCTCCGGAAATCTGTTTTCTAATACTGTGTTTTAAAAAGCACAAGTTTCAGATGTCTGCAACCTTTCCTCACAATCTCTCTCACATTTCACCTGTTGCCAATGTCCAGTGGAGTACATGAGAGGGTGCCTCTGCTGCCTCTGAACGAGAGTTGGGAGCGTGACCACTTCCTTTACTCCTTTCTCCTCTGATCTTAGCTTCTGAGAATTTTTCCCCTAGAGTCACACGATATTTGCTTAGAAAAAAATACCCTAAAGTTTGCATTTATACTGAGCCTTATAATATTTCTAAGAATACATACAAAACCTCAAATAAATACATTTGTGATTGTTGACAGGTTTCAGGTCAAACACTTTTTCAGCCAAGAACAGAACATTTCTAGAGTTACATTTTCAACCCCTGTTGCTTCTATCACCACATTTTCTTGGCTTATGAGAATCAGGACATTTCTCTTTCTTTACTTATCTCTGTGTTCTGTTTTTGCTTTTCCAGTAAGTGGAATGGAATGAATGGAATCATTCTGTCCTTTAATACAACACACACACACATTCTGTGTGCTTTAGAGTCTGTCTTGATGTGGTAAAAGAACCACACTAAAAGTGATGCTAGGGTGGCCTTTCAGGGACCACTTTCACAGAATTAAATAGGAGAGCTGGTGATATGTCTTCCCGGTGACCTGTCTATTGCCTTTCATATTTCAAAGAGGAAGACATTTACTGAGCTCTGAATTCATTGCAGATCTAGGGAGACTTTGTCTCTTGCTCTGCAGATCCCTCCTTCATTCAACTCCAGAATCTATCTTCGTAGTCCCATATTAATTATTTATATATGAATGAGAATTTAAGTTAAAAGTGTTGCCTCTTCCAGGATATATTCTTATTGAGGTTTCTTTTTAATTATGGGACAAAGACTTTGCCCCCTAGGACAAAAATTATGGCGAATTAGAGAACAGGTAAGATGCTGGGTGGTAAGAACACACCCTGTGACCCTGAAATCACACTAATGTATAAAACCAATTAATGTTAGGCAAACATTTAAATTCCACACATACCCGAGAAAATGAAAATGAATGGCTTGGTCTTAGTCCTTTTTCACCCCTTTGTGCCAGTATTAAAACAGAGATATTTACATTTAAACAGTCAAGTGATTTCTATGTGTAAACGCAGGAATTTACCAGTAGCTATTCTGAAGGGTTTAGGTAATGAGATTCCAAGTGAATCTTGAATGATATATACCTATAAAACTGAGGACAGCTGTAATTTCAACAGGAAGCCTCTAATTCAGGAATGTGGAAGTATCATTCACCCAAGAAATATTTATTGAACACCTACTAGGTACCAGAAACTCTTTTAGCTGCTGAAGATACAGCAATGAACAGAAGAAAGATAGGTTTGTCCTGAAAGATGTTCTATTCAAGTGGATGTAAGATAGACCATGAACAAATGAACAACTTTCTAATATGCTAGATGCTGGCATCTTCTATGAAGAAAGTAAAGCACGGTAGAGGGAGAGAGTGATAGGAAAGCACTGTTTTTTTTTTAAAATATAGATTGATTAGGGAAAGTCTCACTGATAGTGAGACAGTAGTATTTACACAGAAAAGGCACAGAAAGTCATGGATTGCCAACCCTGGTTGTTAAAATTCTGGTGTGTGATTCCTCTTTCCCTTCCTCCCTTCTTCCTTTTCCTTCCTCTCTTGTCAAATATTAATTGACAAGAAATGCAGAGTAGCTTAGTTCATTTTTCTATTCCAAATTCATTTCATAGAGCTCTTGAAGAAAGAGATATACTTAGGATTTGCGAATGCTCTAAAATAAGGAGCAGTTAGATACATAAAATATTAAACTTATGGTTGAAAAGAACTAGTCTGGACCAGGTAAAGAAACAACTTGTAGGTGGTAAAAAATGAACTGGAATAGGGTGAACTAAATAATGAAATAACTATGTTTGCCATTTTTTTCTCTCCCTTGTAAATTTCTTATAGAACTGTTAACCTCAAAATGGCAGATGACATCTCGTAAACCTCCTTGTGTGAATAGTTTACCTGAAGGGAAGCTGAAGATACTTCAGGATGGACTGTATCTAATTTATGGCCAAGTGGCTCCCAGTACAGCCTACAAGGGTGTGGCTCCTTTTGCGGTGCAGCTACGTAAAAACGAAGCCATGCTACAAACTCTAACATCCAATTCCACAATCTATGATGTAGGAGGGACTTATGAATTCCATGCTGGAGATATAATAGACTTGATATTCAATGATGAACATCAGGTTCTAAAAAATAACACATATTGGGGGATCGTTTTGCTAGCAAATCTCTGATTCATCTCCTAGACACTCAATTTGGTCTTTCCATCCTCTTTAGCATGTGCAGAAATACTGGTGGGTGGTTTGGAGGGGGCAGATTTTCAATGCCTGCAGTATGTTCAGATACACACATCAACACAAACGGGACTCTTCTCCGTGTGAATTTTCATCTCTCATGCTTATCTGAAAGAGACTCAGAAGAAGAGCTAAAGACCTTTGGTTACTTCTGATGTTGGGTCTGCAACAATTTCAATCAGTGATAAAATGCGTATAGGTAGCAAAGGACAGAAGATCTTCAAAGAATCATTGTCTGATCTTTGAATCCCTGGATGGAATAAAATGAAGTCCTATTCCTATGGAAGCTTTACCTGGTATGCAAAAATGATCCAGGGCAATAGTCTGGCCTTGTTCTCAAATTCCTGGGCTGCTTTATTTCATTCTTCCCATATCCTCATCTTCTGAGACCCTCCTAATAAAAAATATGCAGACTGGTAGGGTGGTTCCAGATATGCCAACAACACCCTACCTTAGACATGATTATGCCAGAAAATAGAGAACCCTCTAAGAATTATTGGAATAGAGGCACAGGTGACATGAAATGGAATAGACATCATCTTGGAATTTCCCTTGGTTTCATCATCCTCAAGGTGCAAGGTGCTTTATAAAACTAGCTGATCAATGAGGTTTTTTGGAACCTTAACCTATGGTTTCATGAAAATTCATCCCTTTGTGTGTGTGTGTATAAACATTGCCAATTGTAAAGAAAATGTAACCATCTGTAATCATTTGATTTAACTGCAGAAATTTGTATGTATGTGTTAACATTATTGTATATCATGATATACAATACCATGGCTTTTCAAAAAGCATTGAAAAGCATGGCTTTGCATGGTTTGCAAAATGCTTTTGTATATCATATAGCAACTCTATTAGGTTGGTTGAGCAGGCACTTTTGGGAAAATTTTAACCCTGAGAACATGGAGGCAGATGGAGTACAGGCAACTTTCCACAAGTCACAGAACAAGTGACTCACAGAGCCCATGGATTTTGCACTGGGTCACACTGGCTCAGTTTTAGAATTGTTATCTCTGCTATCATGTTCTAAGTCTATGCAATTTAGCAAACTCAATTTTCAGGAAACGTATTCCTCTTCAGCTTAAGGTGGGTAGGGTGAAACTACAACAGATTCTTCCTTTACCAGGCAACTTCTTTTCCTTTCCTTACCTGGAGCAGGAAGCCCCAGGATGCTGCTCAGACTTCCCCCACCCAATCCCCTCCTCACTTGGAAGAGTCCATCTCAGTCAAATGTGCCAACTTTTAAAAATGAATTCAAAAGTTTAGAACTCTGTTAATTATTGGGGGGTTCTTATTGAAAGGTATCTAATATTACACCTTAAACAAGTTTAAATATTTATGGTTATTTGTGAAAAGCTGTATTATATGAAATAATATCATCACATGTAAAGCTAACTTAAATTTTTTTAGTTTTGTGTTTAAGAGAAAAGGCTCATGAGCTGGCTAAACCTAAGGCCAAGATGTTTCTTAGGAAGTCTTTCTATCTTTTTTTTTTCCTTTTTTTAAGCCTGCTGAATAGCTACAGAGCCAAAAATTTAGAGACCTTATTGCTCTTGCACAACATATCTTCTCAGGAAATTAAAGTTGTAACATATATTTATAGAATCTTGGTGGTATTGATCTTTGTTATATTATACGCAGCAGTGTGCTAACGTGGGTTAGGGCTTGCAGTAGCTTACAAGAGGATACTGTTAATTTTTCAGGATTTTTTACATGCCTGTTATTAATTATTGCCATCCTTGAAATTGGTTATGGTGGGAGTATTTATAGCATGGGAATTGGCAAACACTACAAATCAGGGCATTTCCTTTGGCATGCTGGTGTACCAGAACAACCTTGTTTGTAAAATTCTCCTTCTCAGTGATTCCTCTCCGACCCTGCTTCCTTCCTGGGGTGATCAAGGCAGGCTAAAACTGTCAAAAGCCAACATAGTAGTGACTTCTCAGGGCTGCAGTCAGAGGGATGGCTACCGGTAGATGATCTTTGAATTTTCTTGGTTTTATAATTTCAACTTTTGTTTTCAATGTATACTGTTTCCCTGTTTTTCCACATAATTGTCTGTATTTTTAAAACTGCAATAAATTGTGTGTTGGTAACCGGACTGTGGTGGATTTGTATGTGGGTTATCAGATTAGATCTAGAGAACGTGAAGGTATGTCAGAGCAATCCTCATCCTTATGAAACATGGCCTGGCAAGTGTTGGGCAAAGGTGAGAGCTGAGTTAGCTTTTGGTGACAGCTGTCCCCCTTTCAGATGGGTGAGTCAGTTTCACTTTCTGACTTCTAGCCATCTCCTCTTCCACCCCACCCACACTCATCATCAAAGTCATTGCTAAGACTTGTCTCACTAAATGTTTTCTGCCTTCCATTCCACTCCATCAAACAAGAGCATGCTATCGTAATGTGGATTAAGTCTCTGCTTCTGAAGAAGGCAGTTCACTGAAAAATGACACAGTCGTATGCATTTGATGGAATCAATGAGCTCCTTAGATGAAGTGTATCTGTACATCTTGGGGATGAAATTCCTGCTTTTGTGTTCTATCCAAAGAGCAAATTTCATTTGGCTGGTATATGTGTGTGTGTGTGGGGGGGGGGTGTTGCTTTTTTTTTTTTTTTAAAAATAGAAGAAACAGCCAACATCTGATTAATTGGTCAGTGGATTAAGAACTTCCCTGAGACAGAAGCAATAAATGATGCCTTGGCATATATATATATATTCCTTGACCTAAAACAATGCATGTCTATTCTAGGGTTCACTTGTCATTCTAGGAGAGTCACTCCATTGATCATGATTCTCCTGTGAGTCTCACATTTAACCACAGGTAACTCATACATATCCCATAGACTAAGAGATTATGAACCCATCTCAGTGTAGAAAGATTATCTGTCTTCACTACAAAGCAGTTGTCTTTCCTCTTCCAGACAAATTTCCTGGGTAGGGTCAGACTCTAGTCCATGGTCATCTTCAGCTTTCTCATGTGGAGGCAAGTACTAGTTCTTTGTATCTCTCAATTGCTAGAAATATATTTCAAAGCTCCTTTAGAAGTTTCCTTGAAGTCCTCTTACCAGGCTTGAGATGAGAAAGTGTCCTTGCTCCTCATCCTTCCTGCAAAGGGTAGGAACTCACAGAATGGCCACAGCTATCTATAAATGTTATCATTAATCTCTCTTTCTCCCCTCTCTGGGCTCATTTTATCCTTGATCTACCTGAAGTGTCTGTAAGTGAGTGGAGTGTGGGAGCTTGTTTTCATTCTCTTTATAAATTCTGCATATTGCAGGGGTCAGAATTGTCTTGCTCTGGTATCCAGGTATCAATCATGTCTGAATTGAAACTGAGTAGAAAGAGTTCCACTTTCCCATTTTAACATCTTATAGGTCTAAAAGGGATAATGGGGACCTAGAATAAAATACAGAAATACAAAAATCCCCAGCCATCATCATAGGAGCAGAGGGAGTGGAAAATCATTATTTAGGAAAGTCAGGCTGAGTGGTGCCTGTGGCTCAAAGGGGTAAGGTGCTGGCCCCATATGCCAGAGGTGGTGGGTTCAAACCCAGCCCCAGCCAAAAACTACAAAAAAAAAA